AATGAATGTATTTGTATAGGAGGAGGACATGAGTTTTGGGGGGCCAGTAAAAGAATGCTATAGTTTGAGTATTTGTCCCCTCCAAAACTGATGTTGAAATTTAATCCTCAAGGTGGCAGCATTGAGAGGTGGGGAATGTAAGAGATGATTAGGTCATGAATGTTCTGCCTTTGTGTATGGATGAATCCATTAGTAGATTAGTGGAATAATGAATGATGGGTTATCATGGGAGTAGGACTGGTGGCTTTATAAGACGAGGCAGTGAGACTTGAGCCTTGCTCATCATCAAGTGATATACCCTTTGCTCCCTCGGGACTCTGCAGAGAGTCCCTACTAGCGAGAAAGCCCTCACCAGATGTGGCCCCTCAACCTTGGACTCAGACGCCATAAATGTAAGAAATTTCTTTTCTTTATAAATTGCCCAATTTAAGATATCCTGTTATAAGCAACAGAAAATGGACTTAGACACTCTTTTACATTATTATTTAAGTGTCCACTTTCTCTTACTGGACTGTAAGTTCCTTGATGGCAAGGAACTCTGTGTCCCTGTGTAAAACAGATGTGTCTGCCTTAGGCCTTGGGGGCCTAATCCCCACCCTAATATGTCCAGGAAGTAGCACATGATAGCAAGAGATTATTTTCTAGCTTTAAGTTTTAATGTCTGCCCTGTGTCCCCAGTGTAAAACAAACAGACAGTTGTACAGTAGGTATAAAAATGCTGTAGAAACCCAGGGGACAGAGAGCCCAACTTTCAGCAGAAGAAACCTGGATATCTGGATATAATCTGATAAATAATAGGGCTTCTTAATTAGGGGACAATGTGATGATCATAGTGTATGTGAAGATTTTTTTCTGGAGGTGCCTGTGGTGGGTGAGATATTAAGTGGGGAGACTAGTTTTATGGTAAGGGCCTGGATTTGGCAGTGGGAACTGAGAAGGATCAATCTGGGAGACTCTGTAGAAGATACTACTACATAGGATCAATGAGAGGAAAGAGCCAGATGTCCCTCTCTTATGGAGTCCAATGGCCTGGCTTGTGTCCTGGCTTTGTCACCCACCAGTTGTGGGACTTGAGAAATTTACCTAGATTTCTGTGCTTCAGTTTCCTGAACTCCAAAATGGGAATAAAAACTACCTTGGAAGTTGATGAAATGATAACGATATTTAAAGCCAACAGAGTCTAACACTTATAGGTGCTATATAAGTTAATCTAAGCCTATTTTGAAGGCGTTTGTATTATATTTTAGAAATTGTACGGGGATAATGCAAACGTGTGTGTGTGGAGAGTGGGTGGGGTGTGTGTGCGTGTGTGTGTGTAGAGAGAGAGAGTGGGTGGGGCTGGAAGACCAGATATGCTAGCTTGTAATATTCTAGGAAACTAATTATCTGAGAGAATATATTAAAGTTTGGGGAGATTTTGGTGCCATAAATGCCAGGATAAATGTATATACGAGCTGCATAAATACTATGGAGAATGAGGTGGCTAAGCCTAGTGTGGTGGGGTATGGGACGAAGGGGAAGGAGTAGGAGCAGAAATGAAAATTAGAAAACAATACTATGGAGACCTTAAAATAAAATTTTTTTTGAAAAAACAGTAAACAGTATATCACAACTCAGGATCTCCAGGACCACTCAAAAAGTGTTTGGTGAATCTTTCAAATCAATAGCACTGATTAGTCCAGAAAAAGGAATGAAAGGACCTCAAGATGGCAGAGTTCTATGAACAGCGAGAGAGCAGCATGGTCAAAGGCAGTGGATAGATAATCTGGAGTTTTCCGTGATGGCAAGAGGAGAAGTGAATTTTATAAATGAAACGTGGGACAGAGAGAGTAGGTGGTTAGAAAAGATTTTCTTTAAGAAAAACTTACATATTTTACTTTTAATTGAAGATTAGGATACTTTTCTTTATGTTTCTTTTTAGGTTTCCATTAAGAATTGTCTGAATTCTGACATTTGGATTGCTTGATAATTCCACATGGAATTGTGTGTTAGGATATAACTTTAAAAAAAAAAATTTTTTTTTTGAGACAGTCTCTCTCTCTGTTGCCCAGGCTAGAGTGCAATGGCACGATGTCAGCTCACTGCAACCTCTGTCTCCTGAGTTCAAGTGATTCTCCTGCCTCAGCCTCCAGAGTAAGTAGGACTACAGGCACGTGCCACCATTCCTGGCTAATTTTTTGTATTTTTAGTAGAGATGGGGTTTCACCATGTTAGCCAGGATGGTCTTGACCTCCCGACCTCATGATCTGCCTGCGTTGGCCTCCCAAAGTGCTGGGATTACAGGTTTGAGACACCAAGGGTAAGACTTTATCTTAAGCACATAAAGAACCTTTGATTGCCACTCCAGCAGATTCAAGATGAAGAGTAAAGTTTCACAAAATACTGATTTGATTTCTACTTCTTTGAATCTTTACATCTACTTCTACAATCCTCATTTTTAATTAGCTTCAGAAGTAGTTTTGCCTAAGAACCTGACAACGATCTCTCTGGTTATATATTTTCTAATTAGAAATATACATATGGACATACATACTATGTACAATAATATACATAATGTACTATGTATAATATATAATAATAATATACATGATGTACTATGCATATTATATATGTAGTAATAATATATATAATGTACTGTATATAATATGTAATAATATGCATAGTATGTATATCAGTATGCTTATATGTTTAAGTATATATATTGACTATACCTATATAGTTTATATGTGTATAAATGTATATATACATCAATCAATTATGTACAGATGGAACATATTCACTACTAAGATGTTAACTCTCCTTTTTCCTTCCTCCCTCCTTCCCTTCCACTTAAAAAAAAATCTTTCTTATCAGTAAGGGTAAAGGTATATTATTTCTGATGTCACAGTTGCTTTAAATAATTCTAAACAGCTGATACAGATACCCTCTATACCATTGACATAGAAGGAAGAATGGGAATTGATAACTGACAAGATTACAGATACTCTAATACTTTTAAACACTCTAATATTTTTAAATAAAAAAATGCAATAGCAATAGCTCTTCTGAATTGCATCAGATAAGAGATCCTGCTGGTTACAATGGAGGGTTAGTGCCACCATTCCGACTTTCTGGAGAGGTCCTGTTTCCTCAGATGAGTGCTGTCTGCCAGCTTCATCATGGGACAGAGAACCTCCTTGTGTTCTAGGGATCCTCTGGGTCAAAGATTCTTAATCGGGTGCATCAGAAAGATCTTGAACTGCATAAAGTTAATGCAAATATTATAACCACATTTTTTGTGAAAAAATACATATAACATGAGATCCATACTCTTAACAAAATTTTAACTATAAGCATAATGTTGTACAGCAGCTATTTAGAACTTTATCATCTTGTATGACTGAAGCTTTATACCCATTGAATAGCAACTTCCTGCTGCCACCTCCCTCCAGCTTCTGCAACCACCATTCTACTTCTTTTTCCGTATGAGTTCGACTACTTTAAAAACCTTGTATAAATGAAATCATGCAGTATTGTCCTTCTGTGACTGGCTGATTTCACACAGCATGATGTCCACTTTTGTGGAAAACAGTATGGAGATTCTTCAAAAAATTAAAAAATAGAACTATCATCCCACATCCCCATTTCTGGTTCTTTATCCAAAAGAACTGAAATCAAGATCTGGAAGAGGTATTTGAATTCCCATCTTCATTGCAGCATTACTCACAAAAGCCTTAATCTCTATTGATTGATGACCGAATAAAGAAAATTTAACACATGCATGCAATGGAATATTATTCATCCATACAAAGAAGGAAATCCTGTCACATGCTACCATATGAATTATAGCCATGCCTTAAGGGAAAATTTTGGGGACAATATCTGTAGCTTTCTATCACATTCTGGAAGGAATCTGTGATCCAAACAAAGTTAAACATCACTGCATTAAGGCATGCCTCCTTTGAGTTTGAACAAACTCAGAGAAGTTCAACTTGACTTACTTTGTCATTTCATGTTTGGGCCTGTTCCAGATAATTAATGTGCTCATGACACGCTCCCTGCCCAACTTTTAAAAGGTCTTTTTCTGAAGTTGCTTACTCCAGTCTGCTCTCACTAGGTAGAACTCCAGTGGGGACACATCCTGTCTTTTTTTTTTTTTTTTTTTTTTTGAGACAGGGTCTTGCTCTGTTGCCCAGGCTGGAGTGCAGTGGAGTGATCTTGGTTAAGTGCAATTTCTGCCTCCCAAGTTCAAGCGATTCTTCTGCCTCAGCCTCTCAGGGACTACAGGCACATGCCACCATGCCTGGCTAATTTTTGTACTTTTTTAGTAGAGACAGGGTTTCACCATATTGGCCAGGCTGGTCTTGCACTCCTGACCTCATGATCCACCAGCCTCAGCCTCCCAAAGTGCTGGGATTATAGGCATAAACCACCACACCTGGCCACTAGCATCCTGTCTTAGGGAAACATACTTATTCCATTTTCTCAGAGTACTACTCTTTGCTGGGGAAATGTAAATAAACTGGGCTGAGGTTTAATGGTTTGCCTTTCTCAGATGTGAGTATTCAGGAAATTTCAATGACCTAAACTGATAAAAGCAAACAGTAGAGATTTGGGGTTCAAGAGCGAGTTAGAGTGGTGGATAAGATTATAACAGGGATGTTCTTCTCAACTCAAGTCATCCAACATATGGCTTTTCTATATGTAAGACTGATCTACCTACTTAAAAAAGAAGAAAACAAATCCACTGGACAATGCCATTGAAGGTTATTTTTTGCATCTTTAAGAAAGTCTTCTTAAAATTAATTTTTTTTTTTTTTTTTTTTTGTAGAAAATCTAGCCATTAAGACAATTGTTTTTCCTAGGACCAAAGTCTCAAAGGTTAAGCTTTCTGTTAATTTTTCCTCTCTGAAAGACCTTGCGGCAGGAGATTACTGTCACATATGACTGAAGAATAAATAATAAATCTTGGATGAAAGTTTAATTTTTTTTCAAAACAGGACACTTCTCATGCTTCTGATTATTTTTGAGGCTGTTCTTTATTAACATTATGACAAGTATTTGGAAGTGGGAAAAGAAGTTCCAAACTCGTTTGACACATAGCTCCCATCTGCCTTTTAGTAAAATTTTTTTTTTAAAGATGCCTTAGTCTATTGTGCTGCTATAACAGAATACTTGAGACTTGGTAATTTATAATGAACAGATACTTACTGGCTCAGAGTTCTGGAGGCTGGGAAGTACAATATTAAGATGCTGGCTACTTGGGAGGGTCTTTTTGATCACATGGTGGAAGGTGAGAAGATGAGAGACAGCAAAAGGGGGCTGACCTTGCCTTTTTATAATGGCACCAACTCCACCTGGAACTCTCCTGGCCTAATCACTTTGGAAGGGTCCCACCTCTTTAATACTGTTACAATAGCAATTAAATTGCAACATGAGTTTTGGAGGGGCAAACATTCAAACTGTAGCATAAAAGAGACCTTACCATTTTACATAATCCTTAGTAAAACTTGTGTAATTCATATAATGGAGACTGTAATTCATATAACGGTTACATTGGGAACCTTGGGTATTTCCTATAGATTTTATGTATTGGATAAACTTAAGAACACTCTGTATGGAATATTTTCTACTTGGAATCTAACTCATTTTTCTGATTTAGAAACTAAGAAGAAGAGTGTAGTCATTGGCTTAAAAATTGATTACAAATCAATCTGTAGAAATAGTGCTTCCTATCCCAACCTCACTTGCATTTTACATCAATTTTTTTTTTTTACATAACAGATGTGACATTTAAATATTTCTCTAATGTTATTGGCGTAATGAACTTTGTCAAAGAGCCATATGGTTTATGGAAACACAAAGATAATCTTGGAACTTGGACATATGTAAGCTTAATTTTAAAAGCCTGTGAAAATAGTGAAAAGCAGATGGAGAGTTGCCATGGAAATTACTAACACTTAGAGGAAGAAAAATATTACTTTAGGGTCATTGGGCTTTCTAAAGGAATAGTCAGACTTGCAAAATTGTTTTCCTACCCAACTGTCAGTAATAAAAACAGATGTTGGAAGGTAAATATATATTTTATTTACCTATGATTTTATGATTTTGTTGCATTCTGAATATATTACAAGTATGCACATTTTTATTGGTAAAGACTTTTTAGTAGTGGAAGAAAATTTAACTATTTACCACTACTTTAAGAAATGTTCTTTAAAATTTTTCTGAATGGAAGTATAAGTTGTGACATTAGATTTTGTTCTCCTTATGTAGGTTTTTATCTTGATATAAGATAAAATTAGTATCAGAATTACATAGTCTTTAAAGGAAGATGACTCAAATTTGCTCTTATAGACGAATTGTACCAATTGTAAAAAATAGAGTCAAGTCTAGATAGCTCAATAAAAGTAATTAAAAAATCTTTTAGGCCATATTCTTTATTAGAAATTCTAATTGCTAGACACTGCTCTTTACCATAGCTTAATCACAGAGAAAGTTTAAAAATCCCAATAGGAAGTCATTTGCACTGCTCATTTTGTCCCAGCAATTATTTATCACCTGATTGTTCATGTATTCATTTCCATGACCTTTGGAAAAGTCAATAACCACATTCTAATTCTTTCTCCTTTCTTCTAGGGCAATTTCAGTTGCTGTGGTTCTGATGGAATAGACTAATCAAAAGTGGAAAAGAATTAAAGTTGGGGCCGGGGGGATTTGGAACATCAACATAACATTTGGTAAAATGTGAAGTTGAATTAATGCTGTTTTTGACCTTGGAAATGAAATATCCAAGAATAAAGGGATAAATATCTATGATTCCAACTTGTAGGAATTCATAAAATCTTGTTTCTTTGTAAAACACTAATATTATACAATAAAATTCAATGGGAATTTAAAATGAGAATGCTGGGATCAAATAATGCAGATGGATTAGCATTGACGTTGTTTTCTCTTTGTTCTTTGTTTCCTTTTTTTTTTTAAAAGATTTGGATGGCAAATCGTCTTTCTGCAATTGTTTTATGGTTGCCATTGCAATTAAGAAATGGAAAATAAATTTCTGAGATCCAACAAAGTCTGATCTCATCAGCATCAGAACCATGTATGGAAAGAGACAACAAAACTCAGACCTAAGAGGATGACAAAATAGAAAGACCAGCGGGAGTGGGAAAAATCCTCATAAGTGGAGCAGTTGAAACTTGGGAATATATAGCCTTAGAAAATTGCAGCTGGAGACATCTGTCATTTGTGAGTGTGCAGTGGTTTAGTTGGCTTCATATCTGAGCTAGGGGTGCTTGAGATCCCTCATTTGTTTTAGGCAAAGGGAAATCGGTGTTTCTCTTTTGTGAAATGCTTTGGATGTTTAGAAAAATACATGTTTATTGAAGTATAACACATATACAGAAAAGTGCACAGACCACAGGACATAGTTTCATCAATTTCCACAAAAGAAGTTACTAATACCCTGAAAAAGAAATACACTATTATTAGAAGCCCAAAGTCCATTCTGGTATAACTATCCAGTCTTTACAGCCCCAGATGTAACCATGGCGCTGACTTCTTCTTCGTTTTTTTTTTTTTTTAAGACAGAGTTTTGCTCTTGTTGCCCAGGCTGGAGTGTAATGGCGTGATCTTGACTCACTGCAACCTCCAGCTCCTGGGTTCAAGCAATTCTCCTGCCTCAGTCTCCCAAGTAGCTGGGATTACAGATGTGGGCCACTATGCCCAGCTAATTTTGTATTTTTAATAGAGACGGGGTTTCTCCATGTTGGTCAGGCTGGCCTCGAACTCCTGACCTCAGATGATCCACCCACCTCGGCCTCCCAAAGTGCTGGGATTACAAGTGTCAGCACTGCACCTGGCTTTCCCTGACTTCTAAACTGTAGAATAATTTTTCCTGATTCTGGAATTTATATAAACGTAACCAAAGAGGATATACTTTTTTGGTCTGTCTCTGTTAGCTGAACATTGTGTCTGTAAGATTTATTCCTGGTGTTGCATGTAGCAAATCTGTGTCATCCTCAGGGCTCTATAGCACTAACTACTCTGTTGTATGAAAAGTCCACAGTATTTTCATTAATATTAACAATGTTTTTGTAAACATTTTTATACATTTTTTTGGGGAACATAGATACACAATTTTGTGTGTGTGTGTGTGTGTGTGTGTGTATGTGTACTTACCAAGGAGTAGAACTGCTGAAGCATATGGTAGTCATCTTTAGTGGAAACTGCTGAATCGTTTTTTTCCCAAGAAGTTTTATGAGAATTTCACTTGCTTTTTATCCTTGTCAACTCTTGGAACTGTCATTTTTATTTTTCCTGTTAATGGCAGATGGTCATGGTATCTCATTCTGGTTTCAGTTGAACAAGCTGAGTGCCTTTAGCTATGTTTACTGACCCTTTGGATATCCTCGTTCGCAAAGTGTCTATTCAAGCTTCTTGCCCAGTTTTTCCTGTTGGATTGTCTGTATTTTTCTTATTGATTTTAGGAGTTCTCTTGTATTCTGAATCTGAGCCTTTTGTCAGCAAGATGTATTGCAAACATCTTCCACTCTGGGGCTTAACTTTTCACTTCTTAATAATGTCTTTGATAAACAGACATTATTAATTTTAATGTAATATAATTGATCAATTTTTGTTTCTTTTATGGTTAGTGCCTTTTAAATTCTGTTTAATAAATCTTTCATAAATTTTATAAAACTCGTGTTTTATACATTTTATTAAAATATTCTTTTATAATTTATTCCAGGAGTACTATTTTTTTAAAAAATTTAATTGATATATAATAATTACACAGTCTGGTGTGGTAGCTTATGCCTATAATCTCAGCACTTTGAGAGGCTGAGGCGGGCAGATTACTTGAGCTTAGTAGTTCAACATGGTGAAACCCCATCTCTACAAAAAATACAAAACTTAGCTGAGCATGACGGTGCATGCCTGTAGTCCTTGCTACTTGGGAGGCTAAGGTGGGAGGATTGCTGGATCCTGGGAGGTTGAGGCTGCAGCAAACTGAGATTGCACCACTGCACTACAGCCTGGGCAACAGAGTGACACCCTGTCTTGAAAAACATAGTTATACATATTTTTGGGGTACATATGATATTTTGATACATGTATACAATACGTAATAATCAGGGCAATTGGGATATCCATCATCTCAAACATTTATCTTTTATTTGTGTTGGGAACATTATAATTCTCTTCTAGCTATTTTGGAATGTACAATAAATTATTGTTAATTATGATTTCCCTACTGTACTATTGAATGTTAGAACTTATTCCTATTATTGAACTGCATTTTTGTATCTATTAACTAACTTCTTTTCATCCCAGCTTCTCCCTTCCCTTTTCAGCCTCAGGTAACCAGCATTCTACCCTCTACTGCCATGGGATCCACTGTTATAGCTTCCACAGATGAATGAGAACATGTGATATTTGTCTTTCTGTGCCAAGAAGCCCAGTTGTTTTAGCTTTCACATGTAGATAGATCTACAGTATATCTGGACTGATATTTGCATATCATGTGAGGCAGAAGCTCAAGATTCATTCATATTTTTACCTGTGGTTTTACCCAATTGATTCATATCCAGTTGACCCAGCCACACTGCCTAAAAAGAATATCCTTTTCCTAACTCATTGTGTGTACTTTTATCATGCATCAAGTGGACTCTTTCCTTTTCCATTGACTAATATCTATCCTTCCACTAATTCTCTTAATTACTGCAGCAATATAGTAAGTCTTGATACCTGAAAGTGAAAGACTGTCTATTCTTTGTATTATTATACAAATATTTGAGCCAGCTTGTTAAATTCATTAAAAAATATTTAGCTGGGATTTGGACTGGGATTGCATTGAATCTATAGATCAATTTGGGAGAAAATGATATTTTTATAATATCAGATCTTCTAATTTATGAATACAATATCTCTCTCCTAATAATTTTTTGTATTTTTTTATTTTGTTTATTTTTGGGGGACAGCGTCTTCACTGTCACCCAAGCTGGAGTATAGTGGCACAATCATCTCTCCCTGCAATCTTAACCTCCTGGGCTCAATTGATCCTCCTACCTCAGTCCCTCAGCCTCCCAAGTAGCTAGGACTACAGAGGTGTGCCACTAGGCCTGGCTATTTTTTGTTTTTTGTTTTGGAGAGACTGGGTTTTGCCATGTTTCCCAGGCTGTTCTTGAACTCCTGGGCTCGAGCAATCTGCTGGCCTTGGCCTCCCAAAGTGCTGGGATTACAGCCACTGTGCTCAGCCAGCATTTTGTAATTTTTAGAGTAGAGATGTTACACATCACTCATTAGATTTATTTCTAAGTACTCGATTTATTACAGAATAATTTTTATTTATTTTTGTGATAAAGTGACTTGTATTTAGTAAAACTGTCATGAATGTGCTATCAAGCACCATACAGCAGTATGGTTACCCAACCAATTCTGGGATGCAGAAAAACTTGAGTATGTCAGTTGTGTCTTTTCCCAATCTTCTGTTTTTGTAACAGTATTTTCAAATTTATTTTTCCATAGGTTATTGGTGTACAGGTTATATTTGGTTACATAAGTTCTTTAGTGGTGCTCTTTGTAAGCTTTTGGTATACACTGTACCCTATTTGTAGTTTTTTGTCCCTCAGCCCCCTCTCACCCTTTCCTCCAAGTCCCCAAAGACCATTGTATCATTCTTATGCTTTTGTGTCTTCATAGCTTAGCTCCCACATATTAGTGAAAACATACGGTGTTTGATTTTCCATTCCTGAGTTACTTCGCTTTGTATAAGTCTCCATTCTCAACCAGGTCACTGAAAATGTCATGAATTCTTTCCTTTTTATGGCTGAGTAGTATTCCATGGTGTATATATATATATATATATATACCATAGTTTCTTTATTCACTTATTGATTGATGGGCATTTGGGTTGGTTCCATGATTTTTCAATTGCAAATTGTGTGCTATAAACATGCGTGTGCAAGTGTCTTTTTCGAATAATGACTTCTTTTCCTCTGGTTAGATACCCAGTAGTGGGATTGCTGGATCAAATGTTATTTCTACTTTTAGTTTTTTAAGGGATTTCCACGCTGTTTCCATAGTACTATACTAGTTTACATTTCCACCAGCAATGTAAAAGTATAGTCTGATCACTGCATCCACCCCAACATCTACTGTTTTTTGACTTTTTTTATTATGGCCATTCTTGCAGGAGTAAGATGGTATCATATTTTGGTTTTGATTTGCATTTCCCTAATCATTAGTGATTTTGAGCATTTTTTCATATGTTTGTTGGCCATTCGTATATCTTCTTTTGATAATTGTCTATTCATGTCCTTAGCCTACTTTTTGATGGGATTGTTTGTTTCTTACTGATTTGTTTGAGTTCGTAGTAGATTCTGGATATTAGTCCTTTGCCAGATGTGTAGATTGTGAAGATTTTTTTCCCACTCTATGGGTTTTCTGTTGACTCTGCTAACTGTTCCTATTATGGTACAGAAGCTCCTTAGTTTAACCAAGTCCCAGCTATTTATCTTTGCTTTTATTGCAGTTGCTTTTGGGCTCTTGGTCATGAAATCCTTGCCTACAACAATGTCTAGAAGAATTTTTCCAATGTTACCTTCTAGAATTTGTATAGTTTCAGGCCTTAGATTTAAGTCCTTAATCCATCTTGATTTGATTTTTGTGTAAGGTGAGAGATGAGGATCCAGTTTCATTCTTCTACATATGACTAGCTATTTGTTGAAAACGGTGTCTTTTCTCAACTTTATATTTTTGTTTGTTTTCAAAGATCAGTTGGCTGTAAGTATTTGGGTTTATTTCTGGGTTCTCTATTCTGTTCCATTGGTCTATGTTCCTATTTTAATACTAGTACTACACTGTTTTGGTGACTATGGCCTTATAGCTTAGTTTGAAATCAGTTAGTCTGGTGCCTTCAGATTTGTTCTTTTTGCTTAGTCTTGCTTTGGCTATGCAGGCTCTTTTTTGATTCCATATGAATTTTAGAATTGCTGTTTCTAATACTGTGAAGAATGATGGTGGTATTTTGATGGTGATTGCCTTGAGTTTGTAGATTGCTTTTGGCAGTATGGTCATTTTCACAATATTGATTCTAACCATCCATGAGCATGGGATGTATTTCCATTTGTTTGTGTTGTCTGTGATTTCTTTCAGTAGTGTTTTGTAGTTTTCCTTTTAGCAGTCTTTCACCTCCTGGGTTAGTTACATTTGTAAGTATTTTATGTTTTTGCAGCTATTGTAAAAGG